CAACCCGTTACATGTAGTTGAAGAGGTACGGCAGAAGCTGACAGTTGGGAATCCCTCTGTGGACATATCTGAGCTTATTCAGCTTTTCTCGCATCCCGCACGAGATGCAGAGGAGCGTCTTGTGATAACAGTCTTGCAGAGTGTTGTGCATGGCTGCCGCGGGTTCTTTCAGCGGGAAGCGCTGTTGTCATTGCTGGAACCTGGCATCAGCGAGGAGTCACGTCATGTATTTCTTCTCAAGATATGGCCACAGTATTGGAACAATGAGCTTGAGGTAATGCGTGAGCTGCCCGCTGTGGAGGAGGCATGTGTTAAAGGCATCCTTGTGAAGCTTGTGTTTGTCTGGGAAACCGGCAACGATGTTTCCGTGCAAGAAACATCCAACGCCCCATGTGGCCTGCGTCCATATTATATCTTCCATCTAATGCGGGCGACTCTCCAGCCTCTCCTTGATGCACTGTTTGCCCTTGATGCCGCCGCGGAGGAAGGTGAGACGCGAAGCACCTTGGAACTGTTGCTTGACATCGCGAATAGCATGGCCTGCATTGAGGCACCCCCACGACGGACGCTGCGGTTGTGGGATCAGGTTGGGGCTGGCGCAGCGTTGCCGAGCAGCATTCCGAGGGAGGTTGGGTACGTTGTGATGGCGGATGTGTGCCGTGCATTTCTGGAGGTACGACTTCCCAGTGCGGTGGATCATTTTCTTAGCGGAGGTGAAATCCCTGAGGAACAGCGGTGGCCGCGGCTCATCGCCTACCTGATTCGGACTGAACATTTGTTCCATCGCCTGTGCGAGATGCGATTGCTGAAGGCAAAGCTGCTTGACAACTGCAGCGCAGTGCCATGCTTCTACGGCATTGTGAAAAACGCCATTGCCAATCACCTGCAACGAAAAAGGAATGCGGATTTGTTTGTTGAAACTCTTCTTGGCATCATGCAGACGTATCTTCTGTACGGAAGCCATGAAGGGGCAGAGGTGCGGCGTGTTGGCGGTGGTGGACGGGAAAAAATGGTGTTGGTGTCGCTGCACAACGAGGATGAGGTAATGTCGGCTGTGCGACTTGCTTTTAGTGTCTCTTCAATCGACAGATTTTTGCGTCTTTACAAGGAACTTCTTGCCTATCGACTTCTCTTTTATGCGGTGGGGCGAGCAAGTGACGGCAGTGTGGACGCAATGGAGGCACGGCGGGAGAAACTGCAGACGGAAAAGCTGGTGTGTGAGTACTTGCATGAATTGCTTCCATTCGAACGCAACGCAATACAGCAGATGATTCAGATGTGTATGGACATGGTGACCGGTAACAATACGCCTGAGGCATATGATCCACAGGCACTACAACCGGAGCAGTGTGGACACGGTGCAGACGCTTTTAGTGTCCGGCCTACAATGAGGCTTCTTTCACGCCTTGCGTGGCCCTCGTATCCTCTGCTTACAGATGTGCCAAAACCTCTGCATAATGTCATGGATCAGTTTGCGCGCTTTTATCACGCGCAGTACAGCAATCGGCGCGTTGTGTGGCTTCGCACCTCCATGGAGACCATCACCTTCACCGTAGCATACCCGCAGGCAGGAAAGGTCATTGTAGGCTCGTTGGAGTTGTTTAATATTTTCCACTTTCTAAGCGAGGCGGGTACTTCAGGCACGACGTGGACGCTTCTCGCACAGCGCATTGGCAAAGACAAAACTCTGTTGCAGCGAGGGCTGAAGAAACTCATCCATGACGGTTTCTTCAAGATACAAATGGGCTCTGGGGAGGAGATCGTGGCATTGAATGCCGCCTTTAAATCACACAAGCCGCGCTATCACTTCCTTCAACCGCCGCCGCGGGTTGGGGCGTTATTGGAGGAAAACGGAATTATTAACGAAGAAGTGCATCGCTCTCGCATTGCTTCCATACAGGCAGTCATCATCAAGCACATGAAAACCGTGCGTACCTGTCTGTATGATGAGCTCTTTTGTTGGACACGGCAGCAAAATCCCCAGTTTCAGTTACAAAACAGTGACTTTAAGTTGGCTTTGGAAATGTTAATCGAGAAGGAATTCGTACAACGGGACCCGTCGCAGAAACAACGGTTTGTGTACAAAGCCTGAATTCTCCCCGTAGTGTGTGGCCGAGGCGTGGCGTGTGGCATGAGGGTCCTGAGCCTCCGACCGGAGTCCTCTTCTTTTTTTTTCCTTTGGAGTTCTTTCTTTTTTCTTTCTTCTCTTCTTTTTGGGGGAAGAAGGGGGGTTGCGCTGCGGCGGCTTCGTGACACGTGTAGAAGACTAAAACGTACGGTTGTGTAACGTCATGCAAGTGAAGGAGCAGAGGGCTGTGAAGCAGAAACACGCCCCGGTGAATCTCTCTGTCAGGGCGTCCGCTGCAACGCTCTTTTTGACCTCCGTTCGGCGGCTTACGGAGGCGCACGGCCTGTCATTCTTTGCACTGCAGCGGGGGGAAACTGCGGTGCGCTGCCGGGCGCTCACGGACCTGCTGACTGCGAGCAGCATGGAGGACGTGCTGAAGCAAGGCGCTCTGGAGATGCAGAGGAGCCTCGCGACGCTGCGTCAGCCTGCGGAGGAGTGGAGCCGCCGTTGGAGGTGCCCTCATGCAGAGCAGGAGCAGGGGACCCAGTGCCTCACACAACCCGCCCTTCCATCCGCGTTGCTCAGGCTTCTGGTTGACATGGGCATTACAAAAGCTTCCGAGCCCTTTTCTGTAGTCGGCGGTTTACCTCCCGCCATGGAGTTTTGGGAGGGGTGTCCGCGCAAGAGTGCATGTCTCGCAGCATATTCGCCCTCTCTGCATCCTCTCACCACGATATGTATTAACGCGATTGAAGCCATTACTGAGATCACGGAGGATCTCCCATTGGAATCAAGGGTAGCAGCGGCAAAGCATTTCCTCTCTCGTCAAAGTGAAAAGAATAGAATTTATAGCGAGCAGGGTGATGGAGAAGACAACACCGCCAAAAATAATGCGAGTGGCACCGCAGACAGAAGTCATCCCGCACAGGGGCCAACAGTCCGCCTTTTTTGTTTGTCACCGTACGCCTCGTACGCCGCACTTTACGAGGCTGTAAACAAAGCAAATGACTCTGAAAGTTTGTTTTTTGGTGGCGAGGCGTGTGAAGTACTTCTTGTGTACATCTGCACCATGACAGCTGCCGGCTCAGTTGGACCGACGACACTGAACGATAACCCCGAAATTTGGGGACGCCTGCGATACCAGCAGGCAGGAGATGCGGAAAGTGCGACGCCAGGCAATCGCCGGGGTAACCACGACGAATTGTTTTTTATTGCTGCCACCATAGGGGATTACTTGCGTCTTGGCTCCGCCTTCTCATGGGTGTACGGTTGGCAGCTCTGCTACGCGCCCCAGGGACCACCACCGCGTTCCTTGCCTTGGCTAAAGCTCTTTTCCCCCACCGCACTCTCTGCGGCCATTTCCACCTCCCTCTGAAGTGCAAAAGAGGAAATACGTTTAAAAATGAGTTACAGGCACAAATAAATTTGCAGGACTTGCCGATTTACCAAGGTGCAGTGGGACACCCTGTTATTGAACACTCGTTATTCCCCACACGAAGAAAGGCAAGAGAGAAAATAAGCAACAGAAATAAACCTTGTTATGAGTCATGCTAGCCATTCCCTACCCTGCCACCATCGTGACGCCCATAATTTTTTCCGGTGGTTCATAGTAAGAAAAAACTTTTGGCATGACATCGACAAGCACATTTGTAAAATAATTTTCTTTCTTTCCTCTTCTCTCTCTCTTTTACTCTGCGCATGTGTGTTGCGGCGCCGGGCCCTGTGGCAGCTGAAACAGCGAGGATAAGGCAAAAAGAAAGACCCGGTGGGAAACGATCGAAGGAACGACCGAATAGAGGTCATGGGAACGTTGCGTTTCGCTGATGGCACCATAGGACTCCCCGCAAACATGTACGCGATGCCCCTCGACCGCGCCAGGGAGTACGGCTTCGTGTCGCACTACAACCACACCGGCGACCCCGCGATGGACCGGCACGCCAACAACCTGACCTTCACAGGGGAGCAGCTGTGGTGGCTGGTGACGAACCCTGTTTCCCTGCAGATGCACTTGAACGGCTGGGGAGGTGTCGGGCTCGACGCCGCGGCGCTGCCACAGCTGCTGCCGTGCCTGCTGTGGGCCGTCGTGCTCATTGCGGTTCGCCTCTTCTTCCAGCGGAGGTTCGCGTGGCTCGGCGTGCAGCTGCAGGTGGTGGTGCCGGGGACCAGCCAAAAGAAAGTGTGTGCGGGCACTGGCGCCAATGCGATCCGTCTGAACGTGGGGCAGCGCAAGAAGCTGAGGAAGTTCCAGACTCAGCTGTGGCTTGCCGTGAGCTACACCGCGTCGACCGTGTTTGGGTACATGGTGCAGCGCGGCGAGCCGTGGTTTGGACTCCCGCTCAGCGAAGCGAATCGCATCAGCATCCTCTCGCCGCACCCGTACAACCCTGGGCGCTGGATACTGCTCTACTACCAGTACGGCCTTGGGTTCTACCTGTCGGAGTGCTTCTCGCACCTCGCGAATCACGACATAAAGCGCTCGGACTTCTTGGAGTACGTGATCCACCACATTGTGACCATCGCCCTGATCGTCTTCTCACACTGCAGCTACGAGCATCGCTTCGGTGTTTATGTACTGTTCATCCACGACGCCAGTGACGTCATGCTCGCTGTGAGCAAGACCCTGAGCTACGTTGTGAAGGCGGCAGAGGCGCGGGAGCAGCGAGCCGCGCGGAACGGAGGAAATGGTGCTGCGCCTGCAGGGCCCCCAGCATGCCGTCTCTACAGACTTGTTTTTAGCAGCACGACGGTGCTTCTCTCGTTTGTCGTATTTGTTGCGCTGTTTGTCTTCTTCCGCCTCATTTGTCTCCCGTTTCTCGCATTGGCAAGCGTCGGACTTGCGGTGAAGATACGCACGTTCACGGTGTGCACCTGGGTCTTGGTTGTCCTCCTGCAGGTGGTGCTGCAGGGACTGCATTTGTACTGGTTTGCACTGATTGTGAAGCTGGCGATTCGGGCGCTTTTTGGTGGTCCCCTTGATGACATCCGCTCCGAGGACGATGAGGAAGATTTGTAATGATGCACGGAAAGGTTAAAATTCTTGATTTTTTTTTTATTGTTTTATGGATGAGGCTGTATTTTTTTTTTTTTTTCGTTGTTGTTGTTGTTGTTATCTGTTGAACCTTTTTTCTTTTTCTCTTTTTTTTTTCTTTTGTTTGGGGGGTTTGTTATTTGGTGTTATTTTTTTGTTTTTTTGTGTGTTTGTTGTGTGATTTGTTTGTGGTTGTTAGGATGGTTTTATTTATACTGTTTTATATGATATAAAATTCATGCCTTTTTTTTTTTATTTCTCTGTGCGTTTTGTGCGACTTGCTTAGGGGACGAGCGACCATGTTTGGCTGAGTAATTGAGCGGTGAGAGAAGAAGAGAGAGAGAGAGATGGAGCGGCTTGTGCATGTTTTTTCTTTTTTGTCTCAACCTGCCGATTGATGCGTTTGTGTGTTTAAAGATGCAGCCATTTGGAGTGAAGGGAGGGGACGGTATTGAGAAAAGTTTGGCTGTTTTTTATTTATTGATTTTTTAGGAACTTTTGAAGAAAACGTTTGCCGATGAATGCTGGCTAATCAAATTCACGTAATGTAATATACGTGTGTTTCCTGATAAGACGAATATTTCCCTGTAGAAGTTATTTATTATCTTATATATATATATATATATATGTTTTTGTGGAAGGCCGCGATGGAAGAATTCAGGGTGCTAATGACGGTATGAAGAATGTCTTTATTTTATTTATTTATTTTATTTTATTTTATTTTGGCTATATCACTTATTCCATTATGTTCCCCACCGCCTGCGGCGGGGTCTTGTGGCTGGAGGAATTTTAATGCTGCCACGTCGTAAGTAACAACCGTCTTCAGTCCGAGTAGAGAACAGCGTGTCACGATATTGGCTGCCTGAATATATATGTATATGCATGGAATAAAAATTGAGGGTACGGCCAAGCCACTGCATATTAATTGGCCCCTTCGATCTTCTCGTCTTGTATGATTTATATGGACAAATTCAGGATTTGTCCGGTGGCTCAGGCAAGTATTTTTTATTGTATTCCGTCTGACCCACGCCGTGCTCTATTCCACGGAAAGGGATCACTGGCGGTTACGTGACCCCGAAGACAGCCGCGGCGTGGGTTAGCACGGAGCCCGGCTGTGGTGGATTGGTGTACGAACTAATGGGTTGACTTGTGTGTGTAGGCGCGGGATGTGTCCTGCCTGGAGCGTGTGAGCGATGTCGGGCGCAATGGCACGAACCGTGAGATCATTCGCCGTCCTTTCACTCTACAGGGAAAAGAGCCAAGGCTCCAGCAGGACGCATGCTCCTCACTCGGTGAGTTGACCGTGTTTTTTACGCATTCTTGTTTTTCTCTTTTTTCCATTTCCATCCGCTTGCTGTTTTTTTCCATCTGCGATTTCTCTGAGAGCACAGTACGGTGTGTCCTGTGCAGTGGCCGGCGGGCAATGGCCTTCTTTCTTGGGCCCAACGGTGGTGTGGCGTAGGGTTCTCCTCCTCTCTCTGCCTTGAGGCTCCTCTTCCCTTATCTTTTTCTTTCCAGTTTAGTTCACCGTCACGATGGCAGACGATGTCATGCTAGCCATCGCAATGTTGTTTGCTTTCTTTGTGTTATTGTTTTTCTTGCTCACGGCGAATGTGTATAAACGACATTTGCAGGACAAAAAGCGGCGGAGGCGGCAAGAAAGATTGCGCGACTGCCCACAGGCCGAGCCGTTTGCACCGCCAGTGTCACTTCCGGTGGTTGTTGACGCGGTAGTCGTGTTCCCGTCGCATGAGGAGGCGCAGCATCGGATCGAGGAGGACGGTGCACCCATCACGCGTGTGCCCAGCGAGCTGCCGGGGGACGGCCTCACCACGTCCCACGAGTACTTCGCCAGCGCCGAGCCCGTGGAGGAGGGAAACGCTTTGCCCCGTGCACGGTCAGGAGATGTACTGCAGGGTGTGCCCGTTGACCGCAGTCTCCGCTTGCCTGACGTGAATGCGGCGAGCCGCAGCCTGAACACTCTCTCTGGGGCCACGTACCGCCTGCGACCCGCCAGCGCCGTATACGGCAGTGCATCGTACCTTCCGCACGGCAGCAGCAGCGGCAGTGGAATGACGGCAGGAGATGTGCCCGGTGTTTCGCAACAGTCTGATGCGGCATCCTGCCCGGAAACCGCCAGCCCCGTGCATGTGTGTGAGGCGCCGCCGCGTGCTGCCGCAGCTGTCAATGCCGAGGGCCGCACAGTCCCCACCACCACGGCACGCCGACCGCCTGTGGAAGAAGGACAGCGAACCTGACGTGTATTGTCGCCTTCAGATAGGAGCGAAGGGGCTCGCGGCGCCGACCAACAATTTATTTTTGGCTTGTGTGTTTCTGATGACTTTTTTTTTGTCTCGTTATTTTTTTTTTTGAGGACTGTGTGAGAGCAGGGCCATGCTGTGTGCGCACAAGTGCATTGCTGGCTGCCTGCTCCACACGTAGGAAAAGGGGTGGCTTGGGCCGCATGTGTGGAAGGCAGGGACACTGCGACTCCTAGCACAACCGTCTGATGTATCCCATATGTGTTTGTGTGGTGGGCGATGGTAACAGCGGGAAGAGGTTTGATGGCCGGCACATCCACACGCTGCTCTGTTGATTCCGGTGTTTCTTTTTTGTCGTGCTGGCGAATTCCTCCTTGTTTCCCTTAATTGAACGCCATCACCTTTTTTTATATTGCTTTTCCTGCGCGTCTGTGTGTGTTGCGTGCAGCGAATGGCTTAGAGCAAATATTTTTTATGGTGAACATTTTTTCTAGTGTTGGTGTTCTTTCGTGTTTTTCGTGGGTTTTGGGAGCAATTGTGAAGCACCTTTATCCGAGCCTTTCGCAGGAAACGTGACCCCGAAGACAGCCGCGGCGTGGGTTAGCACGGAGCCCGGCTGCGGTGGATTGGTGTACGAACTAATGGGTTGACTTGTGTGTGTAGGCGCGGGATGTGTCCTGCCTGGAGCGTGTGAGCGATGTCGGGCGCAATGGCACGAACCGTGAGATCATTCGCCGTCCTCTCACTCTACAGGGAAAAGAGCCAAGGCTCCAGCAGGACGCATGCTCCTCATTCGGTGAGTTGACCGTTCTTCTTGTTTTCCCGCAAGGCGTGTTGCTGCTGCCCGTCCCTTGCTTATCCTCACGCCCGGCCACGTACATCACTTTCTTTTTTGTCACGTCGATGGTTTATGTGTTCTTGTTTTCTTTGTTCGCCAGCGTCGTCTTTATTTGGATCGGCAGGAAATGAGCCCTCCGCACGTCGCTCCTTGGTGCTTGGCACTGTGCCTGTGAGCCGCCACAGTAGGGAAGAAGCGTCAAAAGTGAATGACTGGGAAATTGATACGTCAACATGGTAATATATTAAAGGGCTGCCATTTTCCGCCTGCGTGTGTAAATGGTTTGCCCCTACGAAAAACGGGTACTTGGATGTTGCCTTTGGTTGTTTTTGGCTTGTGTAAGACTCCCTCTCCCTCTTTACAGTTGTGATCCTTTCGGGCTGTCTGCTAGACCTTGTTGCCCCCTTTTTAAAATTAGTCTAATATCCCTTTGGGTGGGCTTTTTGGGGGGGGTAGGGGTTATGATGTGCGTTCTTTTTTTTTTTCTTGAGGCAATGGTGTCGGCATGTGTGTGTGTGTGTGTGCTTGTCTTCTGTTGTGTTCCGAGTTTTGTAGCCTGTAATGTACTGGGTTTTTTCTTTCTGCATGGCGTCACGAGGTGGTATGGAAAGGAGGCGAAGAAGGGAAGATTGTTCTGCAGTGCCATGTGGCGATTTCCTTCTTGCAGTCCGCTGGTTGTATCTTTTCACTTGTGTATAGCCTGCATTCATACTACTGTCAGTCCCGCCGGCGTGCGTAGGGCTGCTGCGGATGGGGCATGGCGGTCACAGCGAGGAAGAGGAGCGGGGAGAAGCAGAAGGGCCCGCGTTCTGGACATTGCCGAGTCCGCGTCACGCACAAGAAGTGAGACACTCATGTCCACCGGAGGAATAAAGGACACGCCGAGTCCCTGCTCTAAAGCAGAGGAGTTGAGCGCAGCGGCAGAGCGGAAGCACAGCCAGCTGTGCAGCCATGAAGTCGAGGAGGCGCCCGTCATGGCGGCCCATGACCCTGCGGCGGTGGTCAAGCTCGATTCCCGCAGGCGTCAGATTCATCTGAGTCACATTCAGCGGGAGTTGATTTGGAACGCACGTCGGCAGCAGTACCAGCAGTTGCTGGTGCGAATTGTGGCTTGCCTTGAGTCCCATCTTTCGCCCATTGAAAAATGTCATGCGCTCTTGTCGCTGCACGAAGAAGTCATTAAGAAGCGCATTCGCCTGCGTTCCGATACATACGAGGACATCCTTCATATATTTTATGCCGTTGCGACTCTGGGCAGCGCAGCACCGACGCTGGCGGACGAGGAGGCTGTTGACCGCCGTGGTCTCACGTCGTCATTGTCGAGCCTTTTGCCGGCGGAGTTTGCCGGTAACAGCGTGGCCGCGTCGTCGCTCCTCGCCGGCCCGCTGCTTCAGAGTCTTTGGACGATTTACCGCTACATGATTGATAGCGGCACAAACCCGACGGCACGCACTGTACAGTACATGATGGGCATTCTTGAGCGACGCAGCAAGAAGGACGCGATTGTGGAGGCGCGTGCGCACTCGCTTATGATGGACCTTGACCGTTTCCACCTGACGCCGACGGAGTACACCATCGCCGCCTATGTAGGGGTGTGTGATCAAAACGGTGTGATGCATTTGGCCGTCGCCCGTGTGACAGACTACCGCACAAGGCATGAGAAGCAGGTGTCACCTGGCATCTATGCACGCCTCCTTTTTGGCCTGGCCCACAATCACCAGTATGACGAGGCGATCTCTTGTCTAACGACAATTGACAGTGTTGCTGTAACACCACATCTGCTCAACGCCATTTTACACGTCGCCCGCCATTCCCGCAGCCCACTTTCCGCCTTCACCTTCTACAAGAGTTTGATTGGGCCGAAGGGGAACAACATAGCACCGACATCGCACACCATCTCTATTCTGCTGGAGGCCATGTGTGCAACCGAGTGTTACGATGAGATTGACTTCCTCCTGAGTGAGATGCGGCGTCATAGGGTGAAGGGGAATAAAGTAATGCTAAACAGGCTACTGGGGGTGCTGCTAAAGTTAAAAAGACACACGGAGGGCATGGCGCTCTGCAGGACGATGGAGAGGAAGGGTATAATGGTGTTTGACGAGTTGCGACGGGAGTGTGAGGATTTCTCCACCACATCGCATCGCTGAAAACGGATCATTTTTGTCTCGTTCCGCGGGCTAAAAGAATCATTTCCAAAGAAAACTTTTATGGACTTCGGAAAATTTGTAGGGTGTTTTTGGATGACTTTTTTGTTGTTGTTGTTGGCTCATGTGGGTTTTTATTGTGCCTTTGTTGTTATTGTTGTTTTTTATTTTTTTATGCGTTAATTATTTTTCATTTTTTATTTTCTCCCCTCTTCTTTTGTTTGGGTGGCGTGAATTATCAAGAGACAAATGAAAACTCATGGCCTTTATTGGATTTCAAGAGAATGCCGGCCGAGTGCGGCGAAGCATGACCCCTTCCTGCGATTCTTGGGAAATTTAACATCACTCAGTAGGCGTGACGAGCAAAAAGCATTGCGCAGTGGAGTTGCCTGGAATAATTGACATGCGGCGGCATTTAACCTTGTGGATTTGATGTGCCACAGCAACCACGCTCCGTCGTGTCTCCGGAGTACCGTGTTGGTTCTGGAGCGCCTTCTAAAAGGGCATTTGGGGCCCGTTGAATGAAGAGGTGTGGGGTTGGTGGAATTGCCCTTGCTTGGGGCATTATGAGATCCTCTTTTCCATTGTTATTGTAGGCGCAGGCCTCGTGAAGGCGTCCATTGTGGGCAGAGTGGAAACTCATGGGGAAATGGCCGATGCTACCGCCTACGCCTCAGCTGCGCCCCCCTGTCCATTACTTCAGGGGAAGATGCAAGCAGGAGAATGTCAGAGATGAATTCATGTCTACTTTAAGGCTTCTCATGGGGCTGTCTACATGTGCTCGCATTGTGTGCTAAGATTGTCCTCCCAGATTGCTCCATTGGACCCGTCATCTTTGATGAACTGACATGCGATTGCTTGAGGGCGAGCTTATGTGGGAACTTGCGCTAGCCGCCTCCATTTTTTCCGCTGTGACTGCTGTGATGTAAAATACGGCAAGCCGGCTCACAGAAGGTGTCTTATTCTTCTGTGGGAGCAGCAGAAGTACGTTGTCGAATGAATTGTCTGCATATTCGGATGTTGTTGTTGTTGTTTTGCTCCACTCATTTTTCTATTCCTTCAGTCAAGCCGCACTGATGCAAGGAAACATGTTCTCTGCTTGTTGTGCAATTGCCCATTTGGTTGGTCAATGCGAGTCTTACTGGGGTCGTGATGAATGACACGAATGCAACACCTTGACGGGGCACGGCCCGCCGTTTCTCCACTTTTTGTGTTACCGCAGGCTTTCCTCTGCAGCAACGACGGTGGTGCGGACCTTTTGGCCTCCCTTTCTCTGTACTTTGTCGATAATCTGGCGCAGCCCGCGGTGGCCGAGTCTTTTCTCTTGTTGAATGCTGCGGAGAAATTGGCAACACTCATCCGTCGCTGCATTGTGGCCGATGGTGTTATGCCAACAGACACGATCACTGGGGGAGCGACGAGAACGATGGGGATCGTTGGGACTGATGTCAAAAACAACGATGGGGCCTCGTCTGAAGTTTGAACTCGAAGCTCAAAAAGTTTCTGCTCCGCAGGCCGCCAGGATCTTCTTTTTTCGCCTCATAACACGCCTGGTGTCTGTCTTGACGTGCGAACCGCATGCTTGTGCGGGACCACCAAAGTGCGTGGAGGTCGCCTTGTTTTTTTCTTTACGGAAACGATGTATAAAGAAGTTTGGACGGTCGTTTAAACTGTCGTTGTGGCATGCTCCATCGCCGCCTTGACTTTTCCGTTTTCATTATTATTATTTTTTTTGTGTGTGTTTGTGTGCGGGTGTGAACCGTGTTTCCAGAAAATGTATGGCAATTTCCGGAAACTAAGCGGTGCTACTCGAGTTGGGATTCTTCTTCATCGTTCTTGCAGCCCCTTTGCAGATGTCGCCAAGAATGACGCAAACAAGCAGGTCCTGTCGGAAGATGTTTGATTTGTCACTTCTTTCACTCCCGCCTCGTTAGAAGAATGTCTCATGGAAGGTACGGTTGAAGAGAGACGGCTGGCATGTGTGTTTCAGCACATATCCTGGAGAAATGTCTTCTTTTTTTTTTTTTTTGCTTTTTACAGATGGGCACACGAATTACAATGCACAGCGGTATATCGCGGGTTGTTTTTTTCTCATGGCTTTGTATCTTCCACTTGTCCACGATGAAATGATTGTTCTACGCATGATAACATTCATTGGATCTGATGGACAACAAATGGCAAAGGGTTTAATTTGGCATGCATCTGACGGAGCGCCTTTATCTGCAGCAGTGGGGTTAGGGTTGTATTTTTTGGTGCATGTGTCGATGATTACTGTGTGGCATAATGGTGAGATGTCTCAACGACGATACTTTCCCTCGTCACCTCTGGCTGGAAGCAGCACTGACATCAATGCACCTGTCTTTCACCTTGTGGATGGCCTTTTTCTTCCCTCTCTAAAAAAGCGCATGGCATTTTTTCCGAACAAGAAGGGGGGGGGGGGGGGTAGGTGAGGGCGTCCATTCAAATCGGGGAGGTGTTGCGCAAAGGTTTGTCATGTGGGGAGATCATAAAGAATGTGCACAACAATGTGTTAGTTTTATCTGCGCAGATTAAGAAGTTTTTTTCAGCGGCGATCCTGCTTGGCCTTTTTTCTTTTTTTTTTTTCTTGCACTGCACGGATACCCTATGATTTTTAGTTTTTGGCGGAAATTAGGAGGTGAAATTTCTTTTCACTGCGTCCTGCTGTTGGAGTGGGAACTGACGGTTTTGTGAGACGCACCAGGACGCTGCTTGCTTACCACAGGGACGAGTGGAGGTGTATACATGATGAGCAACGCCCTCAACCCTGCCGTGGCCATGGCTTCCATGCATGTGACTCTTTAATAATGCCGCCAATCTTCTCCAGACCGATGGAAAATGATGTTGCGGGGATGAAATTATTTTTTTTCTTCTTTAACTACTCGGGCTCTGCTCATTTCTCGAGAGAAACAAACAAAAAAAAAAGACGGAGAGTTCTTTTTAGACTTCCTCGATGGTGACGTTTTGTCAGGCCGCCCTCTTCCGGCGCTTGTGGCTGGGGTGTGGGAACGTCGGATGCCGTGGATTTGTCTTGGCACCCACTGATGTCGGGGTTCCTTTTGCCATTATGGGGACGTGATGGTTTTGGCTGCATTGGCGGGGCGATGCGCATGAATCATGACAATCATTCATGTGGCCACTGCCACCTTTCTGCAACGTGGTGTCCATCTTTTTTTTTTTTTAATTTCTCCCCGTTTCTTTCTTTTTCTTTTGGTGTCATTATTTTTCTTTCCTTTGCTGCAGTTCTCAGAGAGAAAGAGAGAGGAACAGGGGAGAAACTTTAAGGGCATTTACAAACGAGCAAATGGACTCTGCTGGAGTTAACGCCACGCAGGCAACGTGTGGCGCACAGTCGAAGGGATATCATGTCTGTGGGTGTTACGGCCACACGCAAGACCTGCCGGACTACAAGAAAATTACGGTGCCACGCACACTGCAGGGTTTTCATGCGAAGGAGGGTGGCGGCTGCCCTTGCATTCCCAAGACCAAGACAAAGAATATGGGTGCGTTGTACTGCAGTAGGAATCCCATGACTCGTGACAGGGTGATGCCAGTGAACACGTACCGCGCATATGGTCCCGGGGAACACAAGGTGCATCCAGCGGACGAGATTGCGGCAGAGAACACTGCTGTTCGTGATCCGGAAACTGGCACGCGTCTGCTGTTTCCCAATTCACGCAACTACGGTGGCACAGCAAGGCAGCACGAGTTTCCTGCCATTGGAAAGCCAAGGCGAAAGACCCGGGAAGAAAGGGAGTACGAGCGGATGCAGGACCGCAAAGAGTTCCTTAAGGCTGTACTGCGTGATGAGATGCGGGATCGCCTAAGCGCTGAGGATCAGCTGGAGGAGTTGGAAAACAAACTCAATCTTCGCGGCAGCCGTCACGCGGAAATGCTGTTGGCAGCTGCGGCCAGACGAGACGCAGAAAGACAGGGTGGAGAGGATGAGGCAAAGACGGTGGGAGAACAGTACGAGAAGGTGATGGAGGAGCTTCGGTTTGTCACGAGGCAGCCTGTGGGATCGAAGGTGAACATCATCCGCCTGTATTACCTCCTTGAGGAGCAAGAGAGACTGAAATATCTGCGAGAAAAGGGAAAAAAGCAGGAAACTTGGTCCACAACAAGAAACCGATAATTTGAGAGTAGGGCGTATCATAGGTTTCATTGAAATGTATTTATTTGGTGCCTTGTCACCTGCTCCCCTTTCATTCTCTCCCTCTCTTTCTCTCTTTTTCAGTAGGCATCCCTTTTGGCAGTGTGGTCTATTACCGCTGTTATTGGAGCTGTGTACTTGTGTGTGTGTGTGCGAGAGGGTTTATTTGAGGGGTTGAGGGGAGAATAAACTTTTTATTGGCATCATAGTTTGTCGCAATGTTTAACTTTACTCAATGTACTGGCGAACATTTTACGCCATTTTGTTGGCGAGGTACCGCATGTAAACGTGGAACACATTCGCACGATTATTCCACCTTTGTGCCACTACCCATGTAATTCTGTTTAATATTGTCTGCACCTCGGCGTTTTTTTTTTTTTTTTTTCTCTCTCTTCTTGTTTCTTGCGTTTTTCTCTCTCTCCTTCTGTGTGTGTACGACTTGTGGATATTTTCGGGGTTTTTTTTGCCTCTGTTTCTTTTATTATTATATTCCTTTTGATATTTAGAAGAACACACAAGGGGAAAAGGAGAGTCTACACCAAAGTAGCTTTGGATATCGAGAGTGAGGGGGGAGGAGGAGGAGGAAGAGGAGAAGTGTGAGACTGTGACATCTGTGTTTTATTTTTTACAGGCAAATAATACTGCAGGACGTCGTGTAAAGCGATGGCCGATTTGAATACAAAGACAAAGCCTCATGATGACGGTGTGCCCATGCAGGGCTCCTACACGGTGGCAGCGCGGCATCAAAAGAAATATCACCAGTGTGACTGCTACGGGCACCCACAGGGACTTCCGAACTATAAGATCCTCGCGCAACCCCGCACGAACAACTACTACCTTGCGACAGGTGGCTGTCCTTGCATCCCACGGGCCGTGGCTCACCCGGGCAGTTGGCGCCTCAAAGCGGCACAGCTGCGCTCGGCAACACAAACACATGCCGTAAGCTGCACGAAAAGCCGTCCCGATGCGACGTGTTGTGTGCATGCAGGGGAGACATACGGCTGGAAGCCTGGTCCGCACAGAGTCCTTGCAAAGAACACGGCTGCCTCGGGTCTTTGCGACACATTTGGTAATATGGCCTTTAAGAAGCCAACTGGAGTGCGTGACAAGGACAGTGATGTCAGCAGCGTCTGTCAGCAGAAGTTGGAGGATTTGGAAGCCCTCATCCTCGATGAACATGAGGCTCGTCGAAACGTCGAGATGGACGTAGACGAGCTTAAAGATATTCAACAGAGAGGCACGCACGAGGATTACAGGTTGGACTACTTTAATGAAATGAAACGGAAGGAGGCGTCGGCGGCATCGGAAGCGCAGCTTCACGACCTTTTACGCGAGGTCCGTGCCATCGTTAAGAGGCCTCTTAATCAGACCAACATGGATATCCTCCGCCGTGTGGTGGATCGCCAGGAATATTTGATGCAACTGCGTGCACGCAAGGCGAGTGAGGACTACCCTCAAATTGTATACCCGTAATGAGTCACTGCAGGATCAAATTACTGACCGCTGGCGTTGTCACTGCAGAGAAGTCGAACAAAAAACAAAGGGAACAAAGCCTTTTCCCAAGCACTCCCACAGACCAGACGAAGTGTCATAAGAATCTTGTATTCTTTTATCTTTTTTTTTGGGTTCATTATGTACATGTGTTTGGGTAACAGATGTATGAATAGAGAGATTGATGTTGTTTATTTAACCCTGCACCTTTTTGTAATGTATATGTATGTGTGTTGGAATTATTTGTTGTTGTCTACTTAGTCTGTTTGCCCTCTCCTGCTGGTCACGCTTTGGGGATGCTGTGGCATCTATTGCAGCCGAAAGTTACATGCATCTGCGTTTTCTCTTCTATTTGTGTTTTTTTTTTTCCCTTCTTTGCTGGTGGGGGTCAAAACAAACGTTTATGCCACGCATGTATATATATATATATATATATCGGCTCTGTGCAGGGAGGGGGGGGTGAGGTCGCGATGATCAAAAGTTACTTTGACCTCTTTGACATTTTGGTCAATGAGGAAACCGTCCCCGTCACCTTCTTGGTTTCATCTTTTAGCCTGGGAAGGGACATCCATGCACGCACTACCGATGGCGAGGCGCTTGAGGAAGTGAGGGCGGGGAGTGTTGCCACCGTTCCGTTGTGGGCTGCCGTGGCACTCCGCCAAGAGGGTTATCTGGTGCCTCAGGTCCCTTCTAGGTACACAACTTCTGTTTTTCGTGAGTTCAAGACCGATCCTCTTGCGGTAAGTCTGCACAAAAAGTCACCGTACTACTACGAGGCAGGCCTTTTGTTATGCGCCATGCTTCCAATAAACGAGGGGAACCGGCTTGCGGCGCAGCTCTTTCGATTGTATCAGCTACGATACCTCAAGGTTATTCACGCAGCTTCGAAAAAAGGATTTGATTTGAGTGATGTGCGGGAAAAGCTGTGCGAGAGCGAAAGGGAGCTTCTAGATGCCCTGATCGGTGGCTTGGAAGAAGAACGCCAATGGCATCACAGTGCCTTTTGAGGATTCTGAAGGAGAATCAAAAAAGAAGTCGATTTTATTTCTCCTTCACTCGAAGAAAGATGAAGTTTTGTTGTTGTTTTTTCTTGTGTGTGTATGTGTGCATTGTCCTCTGCGCGCTTCAACTTCTCCCTTCACCTTTTCCATGTGCGTGAAGTGCCTTTTTTTAGCAAGGAGTGAAATGGCCATTGAAGAAAGTGCTTGTAACGATGACAGCCAAGCGGTGACGGAGGCTACATCAGAACGGACAGTGAACAGCGCCACCGTGTTTCGATACCCATTTAACACCATGGATCTTGGGTGGCTTGTAGGGTACATTGATGCGTTTCTGGTGAAATCAGAGCGATGGGCAGCGGCGATGCGCCTTACTACGTGTTTCATGACGTTTACTGTGCTGCATGAGGACCCTTTAATGGAGGATGCCACTTTTCAGCTTCACAAGACCATGTTGGATAGAAGCATTAAAAAAAGCTGGCCCAGGCGGAACCGAGACCTAAGCAATACGTTCGATGCGGCGTATCATGTCTTTGAGACCATTTGTATCGTATCGAAGTATCCCAATCTTGACCCTGCTGGCAAAGCAGGGATTCTCAGGATGAGTGAGAAGCTTATTCAAGGCATGGAGAAGCCGATGGATAATGTCGTGATTAAAATTGATCTTAAGAAGAAAAGTGAAACTTTACATGCCACACTTGCTCGCCTACAGGCGTTAGGGCGAGCGCCGGAGTCCCTTAGTGCATTTGACGCACTAATGGCTTCTCTGAAGATGGTGTTCTTCTGCTATGTGGCTTCTCTTGGTATTAATAATATGATGCTGGATGCCAATCTCAATAAAATGGACTCGTATGTGTGTTGCGAGGGTTGCCCCTGCCATGCCAAACTTCGCACGACGTACACCCTGTTTATAAGGGATGTAGAAAAGACAAAAGTTATTGATTGCTTGCTCATCATGGCCGTGAAGGAGGATGATGCCTTTTTAAGCAAGTTAGCAGAGGGTTTGTTTACGCAATTTGATTGTCGGAGTCCGTTTCTTGAGAAGCCTGTTCGGCGCATTCAGAATGGAGCTTTGTTTATGGTGCGGATTGCGCTATTTGACGCATTCCGGCACGTCAAGGCACTCTTAGTGGATCTCCGGGCATCCCCTGCCAGTCTTGCACCGCAGATTGACAATGTCGTTTTGGCGCTGTATATTGCTCGACGGGAGATGAGGGGGATGAAAGGCCTAAATGAACATCTGCCACTTGTCAACAAGGCCTTGGCAACGGCGGACAGCATCTACTCGCGTCTAGGAACGGAGAATGCATCACAGGAATTGCGGACATTAAAAGATTACATAACAAAGATTTTTTTTCTTGTAAGCGCTCCAGAATTCCATCTTGCCGTGCACAGCAAGGATCCGTTGGTTGGTAAAGGGGCAAAGTTGTGCTGCGGCAACCCCGATTGTCCCGGAAAGGTGAAGGAAATGCTGAAATGCAGCGGATGTCGCGTCACGTTTTACTGCTCCGTCACATGTCAGCGAGATGACTGGAAAACGCACCGATTCCTTTGCAAGGAGATGGGATGCCGCAAAGCAGCACCCGCACCAATCAAAATGGCCGAGTGTTCCACAGAAACCCTGAAGCCTGCAGCATTCCATGGATAAAACAAACAGGAAAAAGGAAGAAAAAAGGAAAGAAGTCGGAAAAAATATATATATATATATATAGAATGGAGGCGTAAAAGAAAAAACGGTAATGCTAAGGAATTGTTTTTCCTCCTCTCTTCTCCGTGTTTTTCTCTCTTTGTGTGTGTGCGTGGTTTCGGTGAGGCCAAAAGCGATACTCGCATTCCTACCCCAGGCGGAGGGAAATATATGCGGCTAACTGATATGCCACCCAGGGCAAAGAAAAAAGAAAAAAAACGAGTCGCGTGGAAGCAGCCGGCACGGTGCAGACAAACGGCGCGGGCTTCGTTGAGGCGCGTGCATGGTGATGACCGCGTGGTGCTCAGGACATTGGCCTCACACGCGGTCTCTCGGATGTTCGATCCTCTCCCGTCGCAATTTCTCTTCACCTACTTTTTTGTCTCCTCAATGCATGCCGGCTTCCTGCTCGAGCGCCGCGGCGCACAGGGTAATGGTACAAAAAAGGAGCCTCCGAGACAATCTTGGGGGAAAGAGGAGGCGGACGCCCGCCTGCCACCACCAACGCGCAGCTCTCTTTTTTTTTTTTTTTTTATTCCTCCCGTTAGGAACATATGCCGCAATGGACGGGTGGCAGCGCTTCCTTGGTAGCGTTTATCCGCCAATTGGCAGGCCGCTCTCGACGGAGCGGTGGGACAGGGGAAGCCGAAGGAGCGCCGCACGGCGAAACAGCCAGCCGCCACGCACCGCCCTGTGCGGCGGAAGGCCGTCCTGGGAGGTCCTGGGGCAGGGACCGGTACCGAGCGCCCGGGCCACGCCTGCGGGCGGGGAGCGCGCGCGCGAGGGTCCAAAACAGCCGGGACCGCCGGTCGAGCCTCGCCCGCGGCATCGCACCGAAACGCGGGGCGGCATTTGTTACAGCGATGGCGCCGGAACGGGTGTCAAACAACCCCCGGGCTCGCGCGAGGTTCGTCTTTCCCGATTGTGCCGGCGACCTTCCGGCAAAGCCTTTCGAAGAGTTCGGGCGACAGGGCGTAAGCAAGCACGCGCCCGCCATCAGACCAGTGAAAACAAAAAGCAGCGACACCGACAGACAATCGCGAAACGCCGCGCGCCTCTTCTTCCGACAAACAAAAAAATTCTCTGTTGCTACTTGGCCGGCTTCGCGCCGAGGCAGCGGTATGCCCTTAGAAGATTTTCGGCAGCAAAGGATTCGGCCGCAAAAGTAGAAAGTCGACGGCAGAAAGCGTAAAACGCACCGCCCTCGTTTTATCGGAATCGCCACGCGCGGGCGCGTGATGCACAGAAACGGAAAAATCTTTTGGGCCGCCGGCCGGAACCTGAAATTATCTCAAAAGGCCAAACAAGATAGGAAGGGAAAGAAAGGTAAAGCAGAGGCAGTTAATTGCCTCAATGTTGTTTTCTCATTAAATATATATATATTCTGTTGACCGCTCACTTGATCTTTTGTACTCAGTTAGGATCTGAAATAACATTAGTTACGAAGTGGCGGACTTTGGGGTCCCCAGCCACAAGACCCCGCCGCTCCCCTTCGCCAAATGCTGAATTCTAAAAACACGACCGTGTGATATGCCGTCTGCGGGGTTGTCCGCTGATCGCACGTAGGCAAAGGAAGCCTGTATTCCGCGAGAGTCCAAAAACTCAAATATCCGTCGCAGATCCCACGTCAAGGCGTGTGATTTTAAGCTGCCTTTATTCGCCGCTCCTTGCGGCGAAGTGTTGTCCACCCAAACGTCCATGGTGGATGGCAAGATGGCGGAAAAAGCCGATAAGGCTAAGCGTACCGCGCGTGCCTCGGCCTGCATGATAAGAAAAGTCTTCCTCTTCCATTTCCCCCGGCAATTTTAACGTCGCCGGAGTATGGAATAAAAACGGCTCTCCATCCATGGAGCGATGCGTCCGTGATGATGGCAGCCGATGCCTTTTCCGTGGGCTTGATGATGCACTTACGGTTGTATTTTCGATGGTGTGTCGCAGTCTCTCGCCGAAACCAACCGCTGCCGACGGAAGGTTCGCCGGGGATGTCTCCAGCACAATCCCCTGTTACGTGCGGACAATCGCCGTCGCACTGCCTTGACGAAAAAGTAGTAGTCGCATAAACGCGTGCACAAAATGGCAGCCGCGTACAAAAAGCGTGACGCCACAACCTCCATTTCTGCGATGGTTGAAGAATTGAGCGCCGGCATGGCGCATACAGAGCGGAAAAACTTGTCACTCAGGGGCATCGCCCGGTGAGTGTGGTCAAACTGCACCCCCAGAAAGGTGCACTGCGTAGCGCCGGATTCGCGATCCTCCCTATCGTGGCGTGACAACTGTCCGCATTACGAGGCGCTTGGGCTTCCCACAATGTCGCATCGCTTTTCGGCCCTGCAATGCGTATATTGCCGATCCATACGTCGACACGCACCGATGGAGGTGCGAACCAGAGGGATGAGCCACCGTCGTCACCCCCGCCATAGCCGAAGTAATAATAATCTGGAGAATTTCTGGGCCCGCCTTGTATCCCACTGGGAGCCGTGTGAGATCCACCAGCGTGCCGTCCTCCACGCGGCATCGAAAGAGATGCCGAGTCTCCCGCGGTAAAGAGACTATGAAGGACGACTTTACATTCAGGCAGAAAGCGGCCTCAGCCATCACAGGCGGCAAATAATGGGAAATGTGTAAAAGAGGCGCATTCGCCTCGTAAGGGTTGTCGCTTTTCTTGTCGCGTGGCCACGCGATCCATCGTCGTCGTAAACCGGTGGTTTTCTCCTCCACAACCGAAAAAGGGTATTATCCATCCGCCTGTTATTGTGGACGAACCGTCCTCGATAATTCCTGCTTTTCGTAACAATCGCGCGTCAGCGACCGGAATCCTCCGTGAGCCTTCGCACGCTTTACCGGAAGAAGACGGAGGGAAAGGGGACCGCCCGACGAGTCCCCAAACCTGCATGAGACTCTCCAATGTCGCCGGGTTCAACCGGCTTTTAATCCACTCCAGATTCAATACGGGCACGTTGACTTGCTGCTGTAACGGGATAGCGTGTTCATCTTGTGGAGTGGCCGGACGCGTCCTTGTCGCGCGTCTCGTCATTGCAGCGGCATGATGATAAAAATCACGGAAAAAACTCTCCCCCGCACTCAGCCAGGGTTCTTGCCCTTCCGCCGTTTCTCCCTTCACATCAATGCGACCAGCGACGACACCTGGGTCAGCATTGTGGTGTACCTCCACAAATATCAAACAGTATTCTGGGGAAGGTCGAACGGGTCGACGTGCTTCGCCAACTGCGAGATCACGTGTGGATCCAAATCGTGCGCCTCCACGATTTGAGCAGCGTGCCGCAACACACCGCGTTTTATGGAATGCACCGTGGCATTCCAAGGAGCCAAAGCTCGTTCGACTTTGGCAGTCGTAAGATTCGTGAGCTTTTCGTTTTCTTGAAGTGTCCTGCATAGCTTTATAGTGTCGAAAGCGTCCTGCCATCGTATCCTGAAGAACCGCGAGGCGCGGTGGGGATCCGCCCTCGCCGTCTTCGGCGCGACGGACCAGTCTAAAATTAAGGCCCCGTCCGCCTTCAGTGTGAAATTGTTGGGAGTCAAGACCGCAATCTCAAACAAACGACTCACCGTTATCCACGCAAGTCGTACGACAACACGTTCCTTCCAATCGGTCCGGCTGCGGATTAGTTGATTCATCTCTTTCTTCGTCTCCGATCGCGCCGCAACTTTTTGTAACCCCAGAATCATCATTTCCAGCGGGGTTCGATCCATTTCCAACATAGACCGCAGAATCCTGGCGTACTGCAGTCGGGTCGATGGCGCCACTTCGATTGCCATCAAAAAGACCGCACAACTCTCCTCGTTCATCGGCTGTTCGTGCGTGCGGCAAAAGGTTGTGAATTGCCCCGCTAGGGACATTCCACGCTCCCACGTTGACGGCGCCCACATCTCTCGAGCGACCTCGTTTGCTTTCCTCATATAACTGGCCCAAAGCGGAACTGTCGGTGTTTCGTCGTAACACAGTCGAGCGTCGTTTACGGATAAGCTCCATCGCCCTTCCCGAAGATTTGGTCGGGCAATTTGAAAGATCGGGTGGAGCATCGGCGGCGCGGTGCGCTGCCTGTGAGGATTGGTAGGAGGTGGCGTATTGGATGGAGCTGCCGTCGTCAGTATTCATGAGCGGCGTGCGGCATCCCCTCTGCCGTTTTTTGATGGACGCCTATAATGCAATTAATTCCCTCTCGGGCGCACATTGCATGTAGACGCATCGTGTCCATAGGTATGACATTGTTGGCATCGCAAAGTGCGTTGGGTTTCTCGCCGATCGACGAAAAGCTCGGCAGCCCTGGCATAGGTGTCGGTCTGGTGAAAAGCACTGTGTAGACGGGCGCGCACTTTGGAAAGCCGGATGCCGGGATCGGATGCCATCATGAGCTGCATCAGGAATGTATTCAGTAGAGACCTCCCCAAATTCATGATCCGATCGGTGGGATCCTGCAGGACTTCCAGTACACCGATCCACTCGACCAAAATGTCAAAGGCAAGTTTGACCTGCTCGTCCTCCTGTTACCAACATTAAAATGCGCACGGAATATCAAAAACGATCCGCCGACTGCAGCACCCCTGTGGGCAGGAGCTCGTGAAATTCCTCCAAGCAGCGGATAGTTCAGGGTTGTTTGGCGTCCAGTGTGTGAACACGCAAACAGACATTGAAAGAGAGTGTCTCTGACCACCACCATTCATAATTCGAAACAGAAATTTAGACCACAGCGTGTGGTGCAGCAGCCACTCGAAAACGATCCGCCGAGTGCAGCACCCCTGTGGGCAAGAGCTCGCGAAATTCCTCCAAGCAGCGGATAGTTCCGGGTTGTTTGGCGTCCAGTGTGTGAACACGCAAACAGACATTGAAAGAGAGTGTCTCTGACCACCACCATTCATAATTCGAAACAGAAATTTAGACCACAGCGTGTGGTGCAGCAGCCGCTCGAAAACGATCCGCCGAGTGCAGCACCCCTGTGGGC